TTTTTTAATATAGAATTTATGGGTAAAATACAGCTCTGGTCCCACACAGGGCATCTGCTCATAGCATACAGGAATAATAACAAGAGTAGACAGCCAAAGTACCCAGTGCTGAGAGATTTTTCTGCTAGATGATTCTTCACTGATCCTGAAATCAGGCAGCATTAAGATGACATTTTCAGTTACAATATGGGGAAGATTTAGGTCCAACCATAAACTTCCCATTTCCTTCCTCAAAGAGGTTCCTATCAGAGAGGCTGCTGTTGCAGCCAGCCAGATGTTTGCCATCTTTATTACAAATTTTCATGTATCTTACAACACCTACATACTGTACAGCAGACAGATGATGCAGCTATCTAATACCTACATTACAGACATGAAGAACAAGTTAGGAGGGATTAAATTATCTGCCCAGCTTCCCACAAGACAACACAGGTGTGGCTAGAAATCAAAACTCCAAGCTTCTAATTTTTGCTGTGTTATACTAATCTTTTTATATGCTTTGCTGGAAAAAAAAAAAACCAAAATACCCAACAAATTTCTGCAACGTGTTTGTTGGTTGAAATATGGGCACTTCTAATCAAACTAAAATATTAGCATATTTTAGAAACTGTTACAGCTGATTAGTACACTGGTCCCCCTTTTTTATCTCCTGGATCTTTCTAGAGGAAGAAAAATAAAAGGGAAGGGTATCTTTTTCTAACTGCAAAGGCTCCAGCTAATGAGAGTAGAAATCGTATTTTATATTTTGGCAGTTAATGGTAAACACTATTATTAAAGCTATAATAAGATCAGCAAATGTTGTATGAAATATTAGTGATGTCTGAGCACAAAGCAGAGTCCCCATTTCTTTAGTTAAAATTACAAAATGATTAACAGCCCAATTAAAAACATTTTTGTTTTTCACATGATAAATTATACTTTATCTACCTATCTGTGGATATAATTGATTATTTTATCCGTTTGCTGTTGGCTGTCATTAAAAAAGACAGATACCATGGCTTTCTGGCCTCTCTCCCACTGAGAGAAAGAACAAATCCTGCTATTAACGACAGACAGGATCATTATGAAAAAATTCCATTTGCCACTAGGCAACATAGCCGAGTTCCAGTAATTATTGTATTAGTCAAGCCGTTGAGAAGTTCCATAAAATTGAGAGAGTTTTTAAGAAGCATCCAACATTATTTGGCAACTTTTGTGATGTAACAATTAAAACCATGCTCCAGGCCCCAAAATGTGCAGGAGATTGCCAAAATCAGATAAAACCCTAGAGGGCCCCTGACTTGCAAAGGGGAAAAAAAAAATCAAACTGTTTACTTTTAGGATCAGACATTCATCAACGTTTGGCTTTTGTTTCAGCTGGTGTCAGATAATAACAGCACCACGTTTTCAGTTGGCTTGTAACAAAACTCTGCACTGTTCGATGTCAGGTCCCAGGGTGACACTGGCCTCTCCTCATGGACCTGATGCTACCAGCTTTGCTTGGCAGATCAGATACCTGGGGGCACTCAGCAGTACCTTCTGCAGTGAATCACATCTGTAATCCACCAGTAGCATCAACAAATCACTGGGGAGAAATGCAAGTTATTCCTTCCTCTGACATCTAGGAGCTGAGCCAGGCAACACCCCAAATTATCAGGGCTGCAGGGGATAAAGCAGAAGTCTCCTGTCCATGTACCCCATTAACCTGTCAAGGAACTGATAAAAAAATCACACTTTAAAACTGCTAAGGGAAATTGCTACTGAACAAAACTTACAGCCAAGTTTATAATTTACCTACTTCCCTACTGAGTGGTGTTAAGGAATAATGATGTACAGTACCAAAAATGAAGGTACAGGATCAGGTTTCTGCAATGGAAAGTGAAGTTGCAAAATGTAGGCTTGGTTTAGCTTAATGAAGACTACAGGAAGCACTTCTAGAGCACATCTGTTTGCAAAGGAGTTTCTCCCTTCCCAGAATAACATGCCTGGGTCAGAAAGTTGCAATGTTTTAAAGCACTGTGACGGGAGCAACAGTTTCCATGGCAGTCAGAGGGAGCCGGGGTCTGAACGTGGGCTGGTGCTGTTGTCACCAGGAGCAGCAGCAGGGCAGGGTTTAGCACCAGCACCTGCCAGTCTCCACCTGGAACATGCTGTACCAGGCAGGACAGATAAAAAGATACTCTGGAGCCTGCCATGATATGGCCTTTCATCACCCAGCTCTGGCACTGGAGATGGCTGCCAGCTGTGAGGGCCTGCTGACCTATTTAATAAAAAAGATCAAACCCACAACCCTTAGCAATAATGGCTTTTATCTGATGTAAATGGGAACAGTGGCACAGCACCACAGGCCACGGGCAGCCCTTGAACCATATGTTGGATTGCCAAGGCAAAGGCTCAGACTTGTGGAGAGAGGGTGTGTGAAAGAAAAGCTGCTCCTCTCTCCCAGCTCTCAAACTGATCTTGCTGCTCTGCAAGGCATGCCTGAGTCCTAATAAGCTCAGGAATCAGCTAATGCTGGAAGCTTCTGCCACATTTTCCAGCACATTTAACCTCTAGTTTGGGTCTGGCAAATGCTAGGGTGTGGTGAGATGTGTTGCTATAGAAGTATAAAACCCTATTAACTACTGGCTGCTTTTGGGAGACAGCACGGCCTTGTAGTTTTCTTCAGCAGAACTAAAGCACATATTTGTGGTAGTACTCAGTTCTCTTGCATTTGGAGCTGTCATCTAGGAAGAAGCATCCTAGGTCAGCTCAAGAACTTAGGTCAGTAGCTGTCAGTGTGGAGAATGAATTCTTACTCTTGATTTTATGAATAAATCATGCCAAATCTTCAACATATTAGAGTAGTGCCAGATGAAGACCTAGCAAGTATTTTAGATATATGTTTTTTACTAGCATTTAAACTTCTATTATTAAAAGAGTTGTGTTACAACATACATGCATGAAATCCATCTAAACTTAAAAAATAATTTTAAAAATGTATTTCTAAGCTTTTTGGTTAGTGCCTCTAACTTACAGCTCATCAGAGCCATGAGTGAGGAAAATTCAAATCCCAGCACACAGCAAAGGGCCGTGATGAAAGAGGGGGAGTGGAGTGGACTGACAGTGCATTGTTTGTGGGTATTGCTGAGAACAAGATGAACCCACTGAACAAATTATAAATTTATATTGAAACTGTGAGGACTTTGGATCAAGGGCTACAAAGAAGGCTAAACTCCCTGATCCAGGCAGCTCTCCTCAGACCACTGCTGTATTTTCTCTGAGGGCTGCAGCTACAAGCCTGAACAATTCAACCAGTTTCCACCCCAGCCTGGCTGTTCAGGCTCTAGTTTGTAGGTGTTTGTCTCTCCCTCCATTGTGTCAGCTGGCTGGTGCTACTTTTCAGAAGGATGCCAGATGGCTGGTACTTTAGCCAACCTGATTTCCAGATAATTGGTTTTTGTAGATACCTCTTAATTAAAATAAAAAATATATGTAAAGGACAAGTTTATCATCTGCTAACACATGCCACGGCTGTCTCTCAGTCAATCAGCATGCAGCAGACAGAGCTGCAGACTTCTCTTCTACACTACCAGTATCCAGAAGGAAAAAAATCAGAAAATCAGTCCATCTGCAAAAGTGATCAGACCCCTGTGCTTCCCGGCATCAATTCCCATTTACAGGATCCAGTGCCCTCTGCTGAGGAGAGCCAAACTAAGCATTAACGTGTCCCAGGCCCACAAAGGGACTGTTCAGGTACAGCACTGTGGGGCAGAACAGTTAGAAGTTCACCTCCATGCCCATCCCTTGTCCCATCTGCCATCAGTGCTTCAGGCCACTGTAAAACCACCCAGGGAAAGAACTGGGGAACTTGCAAAGGCCACAGAGCTGTGACAAGAGGGACACGTCCCTTTCTGCAAGGGGAAATCCATGTGGACATATGGTAGTTGTGAAAGGAGCTGGACTAGCAACCTTGGCAGGCTGGAGCTGAACAGAAATGTTGCTGCTCTGCCTTGATCTTTATTTACAATAAACTGCAGGGCTCCAGCTCAGTGTTTTATCTGGGAGCAGCCGCCGGCGCTCCCGCGCCCGTGTTCCGTCTCATTGCTGCACTGACATATTTACACCAGGCCGGGGCCCGGGCAGCTGTGAATAAGGGGCCATATATCAAGAGAGGAAAAAGGGATGCAAAGATGAATTTTATGGAATATTTTCCATTTTTCTTTGACTTGGTTGTGCATTTTGCTACGGCCCATTGGGCGCTCACTCAGCACTTGGACACTTTGCTCCGTGCAGTCTCGCCTCTATTTCTAATTGTGTCTACATGCCAAGCCTAGCCCAGTACCTGAGGCAGCCTGCAGGGAAATGGAGACTGAAAAAAGAAGAAGGTCGGTAGGAGGAAAATTTCCTGCCCTTCAATGGCATATGCCATGGGAAAGAAAATCATATTGTAAAATCTCTTGTAAGTTCACCAGTCTTTTCCGAGTCCTGCAGGACACCTCTTACACTTGAGTGCCAAAGTGAGAGGAAGTACTTCCACTAATTTGTGAGAGAAAATAATCAAGTCTCTTTTGCAGTTTCAAGAGATTTTATCACCTTTGATTTCTTCTCTGGGCAATGAAAAGGGTTAATTCCTCACAGTGTTGACCTAATCCTTTCCTTTTTCCCAGTGGCTGACTAATAAGTTAGATGTGTTGACTCTGTTTATAAAGACAAGCTTTGGACATAATATTAATGATATTGTGTGTGCAATAACATTAGAAAACAAACACAGAGGCACCTGGGGAGTCTGAAGGCATCTTCTGGCCTTTCTGGGCTGACAGCACAGAGTGGCCCTCCAACATTTCCATGTGGAAAAACACTATCTTGCACACGAGAGTTTACTTTGAGTGACCCTCTTGCCTTTCAAACAATGAGAAGTCAGGACTGTTACAAAGCTGACAACTTGTTTTATAAGAACAGGCCATTGCTCAACCAACTGAAGAGAAGGGAAAACAAGGGATTCCAGAGAAACAATGGGAAATGAAAACTGGACATTTGAATGGACAAATGGCTGGTGTTTTTACTCTGGCACTGACATCCTAACAAAGGGTATAAAAGTTATTTTCCTTATGTTTTTACAAGGCAGAGATGGGAAGAGAGCATTGTTTGTTTATTCATTTGCCTTAGAGCTCCACGAGCACAAAGAAGTCACTTGACAGTTGCCAGTACTTACCCAAGGCACAGGTTCATCCCACTGGGAATTTTCTGCTCCCTTTACAGCCCATGTGAGATCCAAACCAGCACATGGAAGTGCTTAGTTCCCTCTATTGTCTATTTAGGAGGTTTAGGGGGGTGAGGCATAATTCCTGTTATGTCACATGGTACAGTCTGAAAGCCAGGTAGCCCTCACTGGTCACCTGGAGATACTGCTCAGCACAGGTGTGTACAAGGCCTCACCTCAGAGATTGCTCAGGCTTTGTGCACGCAGGTGTCCCATCCTGAGTGTCACAGTGCAGGCAGAATAAACTACATGTCCCACTGCTCCTGAACCACAGAATTCTTCTGGTGCAGCTGTGTTTAAGTGGAGCTGAATCAAGGTAATCTCACCATTGGAATAAGAGCCATCAGTTCCCAGGAAGAGATCTGCTCCACTGAGTAAAATGTCTGTCAGCAATGGTGAAGAATCTTCTCAGATGGTTCTTTGGAATTCTCTTCTCTAAATGGTTTCATTACCTGCACTGGAGCAGCTGAAGTTGCACTGGGAAGGAGCACCTGAGGTCATCAAACTCAAGAGTCCAGCAGGAGCCTGGCAGGGATGAAAAGACAGTCACCACTTTAAACTAGGACATGGGGCTCATTTAGTGACTCACCCAAGATCACACAGATGGTGCTTATACCAAGAATTAGACCCACCAAGCTATCCAACACCTCTGGATTATTCATTGAGGATTAGAGTCCATTTAGGAGTCTGTTTTAATATAAAAATGTAGGATGTGGAGCTATGATGGAATGGTAAATTAAATAGTGAGAAGTCTGCCACATCTCTGTTCAAAGCAGGCTAACATTTCATGTAAGGAATTACATGCTTCAGACAGTTGCAATCATCTTCTGCAGAAATAATTTAAGCTTACTTCATCTGTTGTATTCTGATTTAAATTTTTATTGGAAATATAAATACCTATGTCGGTCACCAAACCAAATAAAACAAACATATTGAGTAGGGTCTATTATAGACTAATATGGAAACAAATAATCTGCAAGTCTGGTTTTATTTATAAGCTTATTTGAGTTTTTACTCTAGGCTCATATTAATCGGGTTTGTGGTTTCCACATCTGTACTGCTGATGCCCAGTGCAGACTGCATGCCAAGTCAGACCTGGGCATCCTCCAAGCTCTAAATGGAAAACAGATGCCTCAACTGCAGCTACCTCAAGACAAGCAGGGCAAGTAACCTACCAAGTAACCACAGCGGGTGCAGCAGGCAAAGCAAAGCTCTGGGGAGCTCTCTGAGGTGCCTGCTTGCAAGTTTCTTGCTTCTGACTTGCTCCAGGGGCAGCCAGACTGCCGCCTGCATTGTATTTGCTCTCTCTGATGATCAAGAGATACCAATTCCCTTCACAGCCTCCCTTTTCCTCAAGCTGTAGCTAGGAATTCCCAGACTGGACCAGTTAGTTCACAGTGTCAGCTAGCAATACATATTCTAGAGGAAGATGGAAGAACTCCTGCAGATTATGGTAATACAGGATGAATTCTTTCCAGAACCCTTGATTATTTTTAATATTTATAAAAAGCATTTTGAATGTTCACAAAAGCCATAAATATATATAAAAAATGCCCATGCCCCTTGTCAAGCCAAAATGGATCCAGCTGTTCTGTGGTGCTGGTCTCTGATTGCAGAGAATCCCTGTATTAATGAAAGATGTATAAAGGGAATCCCAAACTGGAAATATGATCTCTGCTCAAGGCTGTTCAACTATTAAAAGAATATTTCAGGGAAGTACATCAACACAAAGCTGATTCTCAACATGGCTGAGATCCAGTCCTGAGAACCCATCTCCATGAAGGCATCTGTACTGCTTGCAGTTATTTTTCAGAGCAAGTTGCTTCCAGACAAGCTTTGTTTTGTGCTGGTACATGGCCAGAGTTTTGTGCCAGTGTAGCTACATCATTACAAAGCCATCCCCTAAGGCCCAAGAGAACCTCAGTGCAGTAGCAATGCCAGACCTGCTTCTTCCCTAAGCCCAGGAGGGAAGCCAGTCTGAGAACTGGAGCAAAATCACATACATGACAGCAATAAGAGAAAAAGAAGCAGTGTCACTGGTGTAAACACTAAAAATTTGGCAGAAGCTTTCAAATGTATGCCTTGTGTACCCTCTGATGGCCATCCAGCAGCCTCTGCCACCTGTAGCAATTATCTCTTTCTACCATTTCCACCAAGGGATGCATTGCATCCTGTGCCATAAAATATGTTCTTTCAAGTAACTATAGCATCTGTGTGTTGTTCATACAGCAAAGCCTAGATTTGTTTTAGGAATTCAGAGCAGGAAAAGGGGGATATTGGGGAGGGGATAAAAAATTAACACAGCCTCAATGTCCTAGCCACATGGAAGGGCATCTCTCTGTCATCCATCATCATCCTCCCCAGAGAAATGCTTTGCCCCCAACAGGGCTGCTCCACTGGCTCCCAGGCAGAGGCAATTCTTAGGAAACTGAGATGGCAGAAGCACAGAGTCTGATAGCAGAGAGGCAGATCTGTCATCAGCACAGAAGGCTGATTCCTTGTGGCAGTGGCTGGATAAAAGAAGATGCAATTAACAATTAGCTTTGGTAAGAGAAGACAAAACCCTTAAAACACAGTTTCTGCTGCAGCAAATCAAGTCACAGACTCAGGAATTAATGGCTCAAAGTCTTGGTTCTCGCTTTCCTAGATACACTAGAAGATGAAAGAGAGAGTGAATTTCCCCTGCCACTTCATTCTGGCTGGCTAAGAATTGGGGCTTAGCCATGGAAAAGGGCCAACCTTGCAAGAGTTACAGGAAATGAGAATAGCTTTGCAGCATTTCCAAGCAAATTCAGCACACCTTCGGATTTGTATTTTCAGCAAAAAACTCAGGCTTCTCACCCCAGAAAACAAAACTGAGGCTTTTCAGTAGAGGATGCATTATTCATTTCCAGCAGAGACTAGATTGACATGATTCAGATTGCCTGGAGATGTGCAAGCAATATAATCAACTTGCATATGCATAAAAGGAGTGTTTCTGGTGCAAAGTCAGGTATCTTCCTCTCTCTAAGGCATCTTGTGTGTGGATTAATTCAGACTCTCAAATGACATTAAAGAACCTTGTTCTATTATTGCACAGTCCACAGGTGCATGAGACCAAATCCAGCAGAGCCTACATGCCTAGCTCAACATCCTGTACTGCACTGGCAGCCATTCTCTCCTCCCTCCTTCCCAATCACTTTCCTTCTTTGTGCCCTACAATAATTTCCCTTCTAGTCTCTCTTTTGTCTCCTTTGTCCATAGCACACTACAAATTATTTGTGGTCACAATGATTAACTTCACAACTCACAACTAATTTGACCCTTTGCTTGAAAAGGGGACAATTCCTTGTTGATGCAGACAACTTATCATCCCATGAGCACAATAAAAAGGCAGAGCTGGTTATCAGCTGGGAGATGCCCATGAGTATTTTTACAGGCAGAGTGTTGGGAGGTCCCTTATCGAGTGGGGTGAGAGCTGGCATGTACTGCAGGCATGCAGGGGGAGGCAGATTGCTTTCAGCCTGCAAGGCCACACAGTATGGGAAGTGGTGGCTTGAAAGAGGAGTGGAAGAATGACAGATGGTTTGTGCCTGTGCGTTTCTTTACAGGACACCGGGTTCCCACCATGGGAACAGCGTGGACAGTAAAGGCAGTGACTGGATGTGAGGAGTGACAAAGCAAGTCAGCCACGGATGGCCCGTGGGAGGCCAGAGGAAATGCACCATTAGTCAAAGTTGGAGGAAAAATAAAATGCGATGACAACTGGGCCATTCATGTGCTTCCCCTTCAAGGACTGACCAGACCCTTCACAACGCAAAAGACTCAAGTATCAGCTTCTTTTTCTCTTCAGCCAGGCTAATGTGCACTGGCAGGGTCTGAGGAACTCCCTTGTCACTTACATTAATTCTTATCTTGTTGTTCTTGGCTACACTTCACTGAAGTACAGTGAGGGAGAGTGCTTCAATCAATAATGCAGATCCAAGGGGGCACCCCCTCTGCTGCTCCTAGGGATCAACACAATGGCTTAAAGCAAATGTTCACCCAACGTGTGAACTTGGGAAATATCAGGACTCCCAGAATTAGACATAAGACAATGAAGTGGCCTCACAAGGATGTTTAAGCCCACACATGAACAATCTTATCACTCCAGAGTAGCTTTTTGCATTTTGAGAATTTGCTACTCAATGCGAAAACTGCAACACCTCAGAGTTCTCTCTCAGCAACCTCAGTGACAAAAAAGGCAGCCTTGCATTTCACAAGCAAATTTCATCAGATGCCCCACTTTGCCACTGTCATGGGAACCCTGAGGCACTGCTGTGAATACTGATTCTGATTCACTGCTGTGAATATTGAATCTGATGCATTTTGGCATTAAGGAAAGATGATGCCCTTCAGAAGGTCCAGCTGTAAACACTCACAAATTTCTCATTCTTCAAGGGGAACAATACCACAGCTATGGACAGGACTTCTTTAGAATTGCCTCCTCTGGTGCTTTGGCCTTTCCAGATTTGGAAAATACAAGGGAGTTGAAGATGCAAGCAGAAAATCCCAAAATGCTCTCTTATGAATACATTGGATTCTTACCCCATCAAAAGGGACTTCACTTATTAACACTTAAATAGGGCTACAAGTGGCTTAGTAAAAGAGAATGAGCCTCTTGCAAAAAGGTGGAACAAGAAAAATTCAAGGGTAACAAATAAATGCTTAATTAAGAAAGAGAACCAAAATCCTGACCTGAAACTCTTAGAAACTCTGGATATACATAGAATGAACAAGGACAGAAATGCAAGCAAACTCTGAAGTGTCAAGAGAACTCTTCTTATTCTCCTGTGTTTGAAATGTGTCTAAGAAATAAACTCAGTGAAAAGAGGTAAAAATCAAAAGTTGCTGCCATGATTTAATTAGATCTCAGTCTGGTGTAAATTAAATGAATTTTAAAAATATCCTTTGACAATCTAAGAGCCATTTCTTAAGTCTCCAAAGCAGCCTGTGTTCTTTAAATTACTTCCTGTCATATGGTTAATAATTTCTGCTTTCTACATTACAGGAGACATTCACCTGGGACAGCCAAACTGAACGGTGCTATCAGCGTGCACACCCTGCTGCCTGAATTGCTGTGCTTAACAACATCTTCCCAATTATCCAGGAGTGCACTGCCAGCAGGACATTACTTGACTCCATTTCTCTAAGGAAAATGATTGCATTTCCTGATGTTTTCAGCTGTGTTTGTACAACTTGCCTTCGTGTGAAGTTGAAAATTAATGCATTTCCTCTTGATCCTTTGAGAGAGAGAAAAAAAAAGGAAGATTACCAAGATTAAATAAAAATGCCAAAGCTCAATCCTTTGTCTCCATTGAACAAAGGTGTTTAAAGAAAGATTGCTGAGCTCAACCTCCTGCAAAAGGTAAAAGCTGCTTTCTAACCTGTTGCTCTGACACAGTGTGAACAGAATACTGGTTGGCTGCATTACAGTTCATTCACACATTAGAAAAAGATAAAAGTAAAACAAGCTTTCAATTTTAACTGTTTTCTTTGGAGTACACCAAGGAAAAAATGCATTTGGGCCTTTTCTCACAGAGAGCCAATAAAGAAGGGAACATTTATTTATTTTCTCAATTTTTGTTTAAAGCCTAAAGCCTGACTTTTTTCACTGTTTTCTTTCCCTTGATATTTTATTATACTGGAGTTACATAATATTCTAAAGACAAGGACTGAAAAGGTATCTATAGCTTAGACTTGTTTGAGTTATGTTACCACCTAGGTAATTCCTTGGGAAAAAGTCTCCTTGTGAAAGATATAAGTAGAGGGATCCTGGTCCTTGGCTTTATGCTGAAACAAGGAATAACAAGCCAGATTCCCATATTGCTTTAAAGTAAATGAAAGGAGGACAGAAAAACCCCAACAGTCTTTCTGGTGTTTGTATGATCTGGAAGAAAGCAGGGCAGGAGGTGCAGTAGGGGTACAGTTCATCTTTCCTGGAGTATAAAGGCTTTCCTTAAATAAATGTATTAATATATTGGACATAGGCTATTACAAACTGCTGAGACTTCTACCTGGAAAAATTTTCACCCATCCCCTCCTTGGAGATGCTGGTTCTGACAGGCTGCAACTGCCAATATCTCTACCCAGCTAACAATGCACAGCACCTTGTTCAAACAAGACTGGTCTTCATTTCACACTCTCCCCCAGGGAATATCCATTTTTGTCTTCAGACTGTATCTTTATGACTGATGCAATCAGATTCTGGAAACCTGCCTTATTAGTTTATATTCCAGCTTCTTAAGGAATGATGTTAATTTTCCATTGTAGGACCAGAAGATTTTAGATGTGCTAGATCTTGTCTATAAGGAATAACAAAAAAAGTGGCACACACAGCACCGTGCTAAGAAATGGACTACAGTGAACAGCATTCCTTGCACAGAAATTCTAGGGGTTCCAAAAAAAGACACTCCTCAGTCCAACAGTCCCTGAAGCAAGATATTTTACAATTGCAATATGAATACATAATTTTTTTTACTTATTCACCTGAGATATTCTCCCTAATTTCTTCATCAGAATTGTCTTCTTCCTAGATCTGTGGTTTACTAAGACTTTAAACTGTGATGGCCAAAGAGCTCCATTATATCCATTAAAGATTAGATGATTTTCTTTTGTTTCCCACAGCAAATAGGATCCCATTCATGTCCCAAACAGAATGTCAGTAGTTGGAATGATGTTTTCTTAAGGTGCATATAAGATTAAAGACTGAAATCAGATGCAGTGTTGCCAAAGCCTTTGTAATATGCATGTTTTTCATGGCAAGATGATTGACAAGAATTGCAGTAAGGTGCTGAAGGGGATATTTCACCTGGCCCATCAAAATTCAATGTAGAGGATTAGAACTAAGAAGAGCTGACAATATTGACTTTGAGTACCACAACGGAAACATAATTAGCTTTTTGACATGTAGTGGACAGAAATATTCAATTTTTAAAAAAATCAGTTAGAGTAATTACTGCATATCTGTTGCATGCTGCCCTGGGAAAAAGGAAAAAAAAAGAAAGAAAAAAGGTCTGCTCTGCTGTTTCCTCTTTTCCCAGTAAAATCCAAGTTTGGCACTAGAATAAATGCATACAAACCCAGCCTTTCTGCTGGAAGAACATCAGGAAAACTTCATGCATTAAAGTAAAAACCTCTCTTAAAAGAGAGCACACAGATCTGAAAGAATGAAAAAGTCAATGAATTTTATACAAGTTTACGTATTGCAAAACAAACTGTCTGCACTGTGCTTATTAAAGGCATATTTCATTGCCTAATCATAGATGTCTATTGTACCTTTTATGTTTTGAATCATAATTGCAGCCTTTCCCCCAACTGTAATAATGAAAGACATTTTGGCATATGCTTATATTGATTCCCCTTTAACAAAGCACTTTAGACAAATACTTGCATCCCACTGAAATTAATGGCCAACCTTAGCTTTGAGTACACTGAAGTCACTGGCATTTAGACAAATGGCAATTTATATGGGCACAGAATTGCCTACTTTGTTGGACAGACAAAAGCCTCTGAAGAGAAGTCTTCAAACTTGAAAGTCATTAAAATACCCAACTGCTTTGGTTAGAAACACTATGGCATCCATGGCTTTTATGTTTTTATCAGAATAAATGTGCTAGCAAAAATATGTGTAGCTGTTGTACTGAGCTATCTTTTCTAACTCCTGGTCTAAACTGTAGAAACAATTTTCAGTAGATGTAACAAAATATACACACAGAAATGGGAACAGGCAAAACTTAATTGTACACAACACCCTGACAACAATCTATCATTAGGTATAATATAAATAATGCACTAAATTCTATTCCAATTTTATTTTGTCTGTATGCTCATCTGTTATTCTTTTTGCTTTGGGATTAAGTGGCATATGAAAATAAGCAAAAAATAAGCAAAAATTATGCTTACCTTATTACATTTTTAGGAGTTACTAGTTATCCTTATTAGTTAGAACCTGCAATGAAATATTTTAGGAAATTAAAGTAGATTAAAAATGCAGAAATAGAAATGCCTTTACATAGAGTAAAATCAGTATTTGTTCTCAGCATCAAATCCAGGGCATATACTGAGGCAATACTATGCTGTTTCAGAAGCTCACCTGACTTATTGGGAACTTCTCATCAAAATCCGTGGATTTAAAGATATAAAAGAAAATTGAAATGAACTGAAAAATGTATCCCTTACTTTTCTGACAAAGTTTCTCAGAGTTCTAAATACATTTTGCTAGTCATTTCTCTATTAATTTTCTAATATTTTTTACCTAGCAGTATCCACGGCTACTAATTGGCTTTGTAGCATGGCATTTCTCCACTCTGTGTTCCAGTTTAAACCCCAAAGTGAGCAGCTCATGTAGAATATTGTAGCTCTTAAAATGCTCTGACTGCACTCAGGGAGTTTACTCTGGACAAGACTTCAAGAAGCATGTCAGCATGCAGGGGCAATGAAAATACCTGTTAGACAATATTTGAAACCATACTTACCGAGGCTACAGTTTCTCTTGAATTTAAAATGAGGCCATCCAACCTGGAAAAATCTCAATGGTTATTCAGTTTACACACAGACACAGAGGTATCAACATTTCCTTAATAAAAAGTCCGAGTCTGTCTATTTCTTTGTTTCCTTAATACATACTTCAACCAAGAGAGACAGCATTAAGATCAAAAAAATCTATCTATTGTAAGCAGAAATCTATCTATTGTCAGCAGAAATCTATCTAGTGTAAGCAGAAATCATGTGTACAAAATTAAGCAAGTGCAATAACACATTTACTAGAAAAAATATTCTTTATTTAATAATTAATTCATAACACAATAAATATTGGGATCACACATATGAGGGACCCAGCAAAGCTCAGACTTGTTTGCACCACGGTGTGGTTTGACAAACAAATCCTCATCAGCTGGCATCCTAAGAAGCCTGAACTAGATTTTTTTTTTCACATGCAATCAGTAAGTTGCAATGTACATCAATTGTTTCAATTTACATTGGTCAGGCTTTTAAAAACAATTCTTAAGCACCATCCCTGGTGAATCCTTCAGGAAAAAAAGCACAATCACAATATTTGTCATTATTCTGTCTTGCCATTGATTCTGACATTATTATGTAGGTGGGTTTGTATGCTTTGTTTTATTTCAGGGGGCAACAGCATTTTCCACTAAATGAGGAACAGAACCAGGCTGCTGTTGAAGAGACAGGAACAATTTCATGCAGGCCACTCAGCAATTCTAAAACCAAGACAGTTCTGTTTCTTCTGAAAACCAAGACATGCCTTAGTTTCACACTCTATATGCACTGAAGACACTTTTCCTTGAGATCTCTCTATTTGCTAAATAATTAATTTGAACTTTATGATGAATGAAATTAACTCATCTTTGCATTGATTTGTCTGTAGGGACAGACAACTCTGCTGGATGTATTTGTAGGGCAGAGAAGAGAAGCAGATTTGACATGGTTAAACACCAGTGCTTTCATTTCTGGGAAACAAAAGGAACTGGAAAGAAAAACTTGTATGCATAAAGGTTAGAGTTTTGTCAGAGGTGAGCTGTTTCTCACAGCAAAATTGCTATTAGGCTGTATCTCCGTATTTTGAAATATTAAGTAAAACATTTTAAGCAACCCTAATTTATTCTGAACTCCTTTTTTGTAAATGGTTGAGGAAAATTTAGCAAGGGTTTTGGCTGCACCATACTCATAAGGCCCTTTATTAAAGGAAACAGAAACTTCTGAATGTGCAGGTATGTACCTATTTATATAGAAATAGTTTTCATCATTTCTTCTAAAGGCAGCTGCAAAATTCAGGCATTTTTTCAACAACACTTCCAATCCAAACATTCTTGTCAACTACAAACTTATGGATGACTTCACAGATGAAAAATGGCATCAGCAGATCTGATACGGAATGCCACTTGGAGTCCAACTGTATCACTTCTTTCTATTTTATGGACAAGAAACATGGACCAAAAATAAAAAATCAGGAAAATTTATAGAGAAAACATTTAGGACTTCTTTTGCTGTTGTTTAAGCAAAAGAATTGCTGTTGTAATTCTAAAAAAAAAAATTTGAAAATTTAATATTCTCATATAAATGAGAGTGTGATAAATGCTGTTAAATCCTATTTTACAAGGAAGTTTTGATCCCTTTTGTCTAATAGTTTCAGACAGGTACAATTCTCATGGTAAAAATTATTTCACACTTGGTACAAACCAACCATATTTCTGTGTTGCTGCAGCAGTGAAATACCAATCACATTAAAACAGCAGATATAGATACATGATCATCAGACTATTCTTCAAAACTGCAACAAGTTTGGAATTAAAACAACAAATTCCACACATAAACTATGGATATAAATTAACTGCAAAAAGGATGTATTTTGTTTCACCTGAAGCTGGTCTCTTCCAATGTTTGCTATTCTGCTGTAAAGGGTGCAAAACTGTGACTGGGATGGAAATTCAGTGCAGACTGGTTTGTGTTTGCCTTTGGCAGGCTACACTGAACAGGGCTCTGCACAAGCAGCTTCACTCTCAGATTTGATCCTCTCCTACCACAGATGAGCCAGCACCTCCCCCTTCTGGAGAGCACAAAAATCAGCAGGAATCTGCAGCAGGGTAATGCTTTCTTACTCGGGCCAGTACACAACAAAAAACAAAAAAAAAGTTGCAGATGATTATTTTATATCTTTGCTCAGGGCAGGACCATTTCTCTTCTGGATCACTGCTTAATGTAGTTCCCTTCAGTAAAGTGTTTTATTAAAGCCAGACATAATCACTTCAGATATAGTTTCCTGCTCATCAGTAAGAAAGTCTTAAAAACAAACCAAGAAAATATTTCAGTGTCAGCCATATTTCTGCATTCTATAAACCAGAAAATGCTGCATAAGGTGGATTATTAGAGGGTTTTACTTTACTTGTCAGCTTAATATACACTTTTCAAGTAGTAATTTGTGAGCTGTGTCAATTTAGTTTGGACTGAGCTGAATTAAAAATTTCAGGAGTAGGCAGAGACGCCACCATAAAATTCAACTCTCTCTTTAGCACCTCTGAGATCATTCATTCTCAGTCCTCTCCAGAACACTGTGACCAGGCTGCTACTGATTAATCCATTGTGATTCTGCCAGCAGCAGTACAACTTCAGGTGATTTTTCTATTAAATTCCATTACATATTGCATTTTAAAGGAAAAAACCCAAAGATGACTGCTTACCCTTTGTTGTGCACTCCAGGAACTTCTTTCCACTAGTGAATGCAGGGTCTCAGTGTTCAATATAGGATCAGTAATGAGCAATCCAAGCATGCAGCACAAAACATCCCTCCAAACTTTTATGGGATGCCCTCTCTGATTCCCAGCATCTGAGACTCTTCTGCTGGCCAACAAGGAAACCCAAATCACAACTGCTTCATTTGTAGATGGCCTCAGATGTCATGGGCTTTAGTTATATTTGGATATAAAATACTGTGATTATTCCCTAGCTCCCAAATAGAAGAACTTAGGGCTCTTAGAGATTTGTTGCAGCAGGACTACATTGGTTTTAGAACTGTGATGGTGCAAGGAAATTTTTTCAGCTGTGAGAAAAAGCTTTCTACAGGAGAAAACCAAAGATTCCTGTAACCTGAACCATTAAAGCTGTTCCAACTTCAAGTGCCCCTTTTCTTTACAAATATGTTTTGTGCTTTTTTTCCTTCTTTCCAGGGATGGTATTTAACCTCAGCAGCCTGTGACTGTTGCATCCAGGCCAGAACGCTTTGTAATTTGCAACTTGGTAACTTCTTCAGCACAGGTGGGGTGAATGCCAACTGTCTTCATCATCTGAGCATAGGTAGCACCACACCTACCAAAAATCAACAACAACAAATGACTCACAAAGTCAAATGCTATTCACCTGAAGCAGCTAAAAGGTCCTAAAATATCAAAATAATTCTGCTCTTGTCCATTTGATCAGGTAGAGGAGCTGCATTTGTTCTTCAAACAATGCTATTATTTCTCAGGCACTTACACAACACGTAGACGCCCAGCTTCCCAACTCTGAGGTAGGAAAGAATTGTCATAAGAGTTGAGACAGAGAGAATTAAGCAATTTATCCTAAGTCACAACTGAGCCTGTGGCAAAAACATATGACAAAACTGCAACCTTCAGCTTTTCTTGTACATACATGTGTGTTTCACTAACTCCAGATGGAAAAAAATGCACACATACACACAGAGGAAGAAAATCTTAATTAGAACTGTTGGAAAGAATCTGCTAAAGGAAATAATACCAGAATATTCTTCCATGAACTTAAAGTCTCTGATGTTTACACTGAACATATCAATATTATAAGTGAGGAAAAAAAAGTCTTTTATTTAAAAAAAAAAACATAGCAAGCAAACAAAACCCACCAAAACCCCCTAGTGCTACAATCCCACTTGTTTAAATTCCCTTTCTTGTCCAGTAACATTCCTAAGACTTGATGACTTTCTTTTGAACTGCTATTCCTGGCAGGCTATGCTGTAAGAATAGCTGAAATGACCCTAAATTTAAGGATTGTTTCAAGTTCTCTATGGAATAATGTTATCTCCCTCCACAAAAGACAGGAAAGGAAGCTATAGATGCCTTCTGGTGTCTCCACTTACACCTAAAAAAGCACTGACAAGCAAAAGAGCTTTGCTGACTACAGATGTTACTGGAGTGCTGGGTGGGGAGGGAAGATGAAAAATCATCCTTCAGAGAAGCTGAAGAAGTATTTGACAAAGAAGAGCAGCTTTTACAGTGAGGGCTCCACATTGAAAGCTCTGGATTTGTGAAATGCAATAGAAACCCATCCAGGAATCTGACCTGCTGAAAACCTCTTGCTGTGGCTAAAGTTTTCATTTCCCTCAAGCAAGGCAGAAAAGCACTCCAGTTTCATGTGCTTCCTTTTCAATGGTTATTTTGGATAAAACTTCAAAACAATGACATCCTAAAAAATGTATTTCTAGGATCTATACCACTGGCAATTAATGGACTACAAACACATGTTGAAAATGTGTACTGAGGGTACACTGCAATCAGTGATTTCCAAGATATTCCTCACATGATCCTTGTGGTCCTGCCTTCTTAATCCTTTCTGCTTTTCATTTATAATAGTCACTCACAACTGCAGGACTAAAACTGCAGTAAAATGGTGATCAAATTTAGGAAAATGAACTGACACCACAACTGGCAATGATTTATGATGTTCCAGACTATTTTCTTTGAAGAGGAAGTCAAAAATTATAATTTTTAATGTAAATATAGGAATCTACATTTCTGAAGATGTGAATCAGCAATAAGAAAGGGAAAAAGAGGACTGAGAATCACTGCTTAACCATTTAACCAGAGAGGACTGAGCATCACTGCTTACTCCTTCAAATGGAGGACTTCTATATTAATATTTGAGCAAAATCTTAAACAAGATCAGATCACAAAGGATGTTTTTTAATGCAATTATCAAATAGCTTCAAACAAAAGTATCTTCCCTCTCTCATCATCCCATAGAAATTTCTTTTTTACTATGCTGTATTTAGCTTATACCCCAGCAATATAAGAATTCATGCAAAACTTGCTGAACTTTTAAGAAGCCATGGCTGTGCAAATTTAAAGATGAGACTAGGAAAGAAAAATGCTTGGCAGGTGTAAAGAAAGGCTTTTCTGAAAAGTACAAATGTATTTTTAAAGAAGTAACTTGGAAAACAGTATGGGGATTTCCTATCCTGTGCACATAATGCAGAAGAAGCTACACTGAAGAAACTAACATTAGTTAATTCTTAATTCTGCTTTTTGCTTTAACTATATCAAATCAATGAATTATTTTCCTCAGTTGTTCCCTAACTATATCCAGTATTACAATAACTAAATCTAGTACATCTTAATGAAGAACTGCAGTATTTTTGTGAAAAATATGTGCAATACTCCATAAAAGTAACAAAAAGCATGCATTCTTTATAGTGTTGCCAAAACTAGGCAGCTATCTTTTATAATCTTACAATAACTTAAGAAGCAGGCTTTAGAAGCTAGAGACATTCTTTTGTACTTACTTGATTCCAAGAGCAAATCCTTGAATAACTTCGCCTGCATTTGGTCCAATGAAATGAAGGCCAAGTATTCGTTGCTCCCTCTCTCGTAAGCACACCATCTGAAAACAATACATCACAAACAGATCTTTCCTTAGAACACTTACAGATAAGGCATGAAGATGAATTCAATGAAACTGGAATGCCCCAAGATGCTAGTTCAGCTGGTTATTTCCAGTGTGCCAAAAACTTCTGCACTTGCTTAAGTCTTACTGACTTCAATAGCCCTTACTCTCATTGTCCTTAAGCATTTTCCTGAATTGAAGCTTTATTGGTGCATTTCTTTCAGACTTGAGGGAGCCACTGACAACAATAATTTCTGGTATTGAATACTTTGTTGTTTGCCATTTGAATGAAATCCTCAAAGTACTTTCTGGTGACCAGACCAGTGTTCTTTTCCACTGAGTGGCCACCTCAGCACTTCTCCAAGCCTGTGCAGTTGTTTTCATCAGTATTCTCACAGAAGATCACTACCATTATTAGATTTATTTTCACAGACGACCACTAACAGTTCCAGGATATTTTGTACCTTTGTGACTCAGTCAGTAAACACTGACAGCAGCATGTTTGGTGAGATACAATTACCACAAGGAGCACATAACCTAAAAAGGAGTTGAGCCTCAGAAGCAGCCAAACATGAAGGTTAATAAATATCTAGGAGAACCTGAGTCACTGCACACTTAATTTTTATTAGAGAACTTAATGAAAATGTTTTAGTTCCTGTAAGGACACCATCTTTATAATTATGAAGTCAGTCTCCCCCTGCATCCTCCCATCAGGCATTAAATTATCACTAATCTACTAAGTTCTGCTATTCAGTAAAAGCTTAAATTCTTTCATCAGGAATGCCAGGAATGGCAGCAATCATGATATGGGACTTTTAATATTAAGGCATTTTAAAGGAAAAAAATCTTGCAATATAGTTTGAAAGACTCAAGTTAAATGTTTCTATGTTTTGAGAGTTTAGTAAGGACTATATTAAATATCATCCAACAACTATTACGCTGTTACTACTTTACCCTTAAATATCAATTCTAACTGACATAATTCAAAGGGAATACATAAAATTGAATATCCTCACCTTTGTTACACTGGTACTTGGGACACTTAAGGAAAGCATTTACATAATTCAGAGATGAAAAAAATACAGTCAGACAAACTGACTGCAATTGGTGACAATGGACATTCCTTACATAACAATATAATATTGTATAATTGATGAACATATTTATGCAAAAAAACCTGTTCCCTGATGATGAGGAGAAAAGGAAGAAAAAGGAAACTATGATATATTCTACCAACACTACACTTCATCTTAGCTAAGAGTCTCTACTGTAGGCAAGAGCATCAAAAACCTTTCCAACACTGAAGCAACTGGATTGCTGCAGAATTTTCAGGTCTGGCACTTTGGACTAAATCAGGAGCTTTTTTTCTTGAGTAGAAACTGAATAGTTACTGCAGGTTTGTAAGCCTTATGCTTAATTTCTGAAGGTATCGTTGAAGGTATCATACTTTTGGCAAGAGGTATCAATATAAATATTTCATGTAACCAGTTAAGAACTTTGCTGGGAAAAGCAAAGATTGATCTGAATCTGAAATACTTTTTAGGACCTTAAAAGCAGTTGAAAGATGGTATTTACTAACAGAATGTCAGTTCTGAACAATGCCAATATCTGTAAAGAAATTTCAAGATGTTGGTACCAAGAAAATATCCATCCTGAGATGTTTTTTTGCCAAACAGTGCTATTTAAAGTTGGCTGTACCATATCCCACTTTATGTTAAAAGCAAGTTAAAAGCCCATAAAACTCACTTTTATATAGCATTGAGTTGCATCTCTTTCAGCCACTGTGAACTCTAAAGGTTTATAATATGCATGGTATACCTGGTAGGAAAAACAATAACATTTTGTGTTAGAGAGTACTAATATGTCAAAACCTGGTATTTATTACTATAATAACTACTCTTGCTACGTATTTATACCTCTGTACAAATACTAATTTATAACCTGTTAGTCATTTTAAAGAAATATATGGAGAGCACAATAAGAGCTTAATGCAAACCTTTCTCAGAGAATCATCAGATTAAAAACAAAACTTCCCAAATAATGCTACTCAGACTTATGCACCAAATTAAAGGAAAAAAAAGTAGCATTTTTAAGCTTCTCCCAAAGGTTCAATGCCTTGTTTACCGAAAAAAAAAGAAATCCAAAAATCTTTTCATATCTATAATATTGCACCCCTTAATAAAATCAAAACTGAAATATTTGCATTCTGAATAGTAAATTCTTTTTTTTTCATTAATGATTTTCCCAAATAAGAGTAACACACCCTCTTGTCAAGGGTAACTTGTAGAAAGTAACATAACCATTATTTAATGACGCTGCACAATGTAACTTGCTAAAAATGGCAGCTACTTTAAAGCTGTCACACCCCATCAGTGATTTTAAACCCAACAGGCAACAGTTCCCATTGTGACCTGCTGCAACACTACTGAAGTTCTGAGCACTTCTGGAGGCACCAACTCCCTAACTGTAAACACAGCATTTTGGGGACCAAAAATTTTACCTGATACAGCAGTAAAAATTCTGCCTTTCCACAGGGCAACTCTGATGCCAACTAAAAAATTGAAAATGTTTTCATACCTCAATATTGTCTGATCCGTGACGTTGCACAGCTGCTTCTTCTGACAGGCCAACACAGCCATACTCCAAGGGAGTGAAGACTGTGGTAGGCACCTGCTTGGGAGGAAGCAGCAGCTGTTACTGCTGGGCCCACCCTTGTGCACCACTGAGAGGGGCAGCTCGGGCACACAGCTCCCCTTTGGCTGCTGTCACAGCTGCATTCCAGGTGACAAAATGCAATTCTTTAGGAGAAAAAAGCCCAAGGTTGTTCTTACTGCAAAAAGCCATAACTCACATTGTCATAGTCCATCAGCTCTGCAGACTGGCCGAAAAGGCGCTGAGCCAGCAGTTTTCCTGCAGCTATTGCTGTGGGTGTTAATTCAGGACGGCCCTGAGGAGAGAGCACAGAGCTTTGTTTGAACTTAAGGGAAAGCAGCATCCAAAGATTTCTCCTGGGACAATGGTCAGAGGAAAGCCAAATCTTTGGAATTCCAGTTTGGTAGCCAAGGCTCCAAAGAAAAAGCAATAATAATTTCTGTCCAAACATGCTTTAAAGTCTGAGTTTACTATCTGTCTTAATGGAGGGAAAATGTCACAAATATGTCAAATCCTTATATCTTATCACGGCATCTCTTGAAAAGCAGCACATATTCACATGCTGACTGTTCACTTCACCCCTTCTCTTCAAAGTAAGCCATGAGGGAATTTTTCAAAGTGTCTTTTTAAAGCAAGAAGAGCCTAGTTTAAAGCAACATTGCTTTTATAATATCAGACCTTTAAAAAAAAATTGTCTGACCCATTTTTACAGAACACAGGCACAAACCCCAGCTGTTTGTATACACTATTACCAACTCCCTCAGTTGGTCCTGGACTGGAAAAGTGGAAAGCTGTTTTGCTAGCACTGTGACCTAAAGGGTGAGCTGGTTGTGGTCTCAGGCTCTGCTGTTACACAGGGGCTTGAAAGAGATTGCTATTGGCAAATGCAAACTTCCTGCAAGTGAGAAATGGAACGACAGCAGGATGTGACCAGGGTGTGCTCCACTTCAAGCCATGAGTCCTGGCTCCTTTTTATATCCAAACAGGGCTGTAGATGTGCCAGAACCCTAATTCTGAGTGCTGGCACAGCACTGCTGGAGCATCAGAACTGCAGAGCTGGTTTTAAGGAACTTGAAAGTTTTTGAAAATTGAATTAAGGTATTTGCAAGAAATATTTTCAAGCCCAAGAAGGAACAGTCCATACAGGTTAATAAGATTAAACAAAATTCATAGATCTAATTCAAAAACCCCATTGGTTAAGAGTTCATCCAAGACATATCATCAAAATGTTTGTCTGACATAAGAAAAGAGGTCACAAATTCAGAAGGAATGATATGGAAACATAAGAAAGCCATAACTGAGAAGCACTTTTGTGGCATAACGTGAAATGCTTTATAAAATGTGTGAAGCTTTGATTTCCACACATCCTATTTAGATACAGCACTTGCCACACTCCTGCAAAGCCCACTTGGAGGCAGTCATTCAATAAGCTCTCAAAATCAGTTCTCAGCAGAAAATAAAATAAGGATTCCCCATTACACACATTCAAAGTTTCTCATTTTTTGTCATTGCCTAAAGTTTTTTAGCATTTACTGGAATCCATTCCTCTTTAGCAGCCTATCTTTTTTTGTATGTTGGTAGACAGAATCTGTACATGGCATTAGCTACCATTTTCTTCAGTACACATACTATATTAATTATCTGCATATTAACAGGCATGTAGGCTTTTATCTGTAGTAACAACCACTTAAATTGCAAAAACCAATCTGAAACATTACATCTAACCTGATAACAGAAATCACAATTCTAATTGTTAATGAAGGCTAATCTACTTTCCCTCCACAGCTCATTACAAATCACAGAGCTGCAAGTCTATCCCTTTTTCCTTCTAACATCCCTCAAGTCACAATTTTTCAAATCCAGCATTTTGACTTTCAAGTCTGTAAATGTACTTTACCAGATGAAATTTGTTTTTTCTTACACGCATTTGCCTGAAACATGTCTGCCAATCATTTCTGGAGCAGGAAATATATGTTGTTTTGGCATTCCAGAAATGAATAGAAGATTGGAACGAGAGATAAAATTGTGAAAGCACTGCCATGCATTCCATAAAACCCAACTAATTACTAAAACATCCATGCAGATAAAGCCCAATTCCTCATAAACAATGACTTAAAGACCTTCCTTGGTAAATATTTGAAATGAACATTCACTTTGCAGTCATGTGTAGAACTACTCTGCTGATAATTATGGATACGAATTGTTCATAAGAATCCTCCACTGCATTATACATTTAACTGAGATGGTCCTAAGAGAGTTTAAAAAGCTTTGAAGTAATGTGTATTTGTTCTAACACAACTCTTTTTGGTCTCATTTCTATTCAAAGCAACATACTGTACATTCCACTTTCTCTACACATCTTTGTTGTAACACCCTTTGAAATATGACAGATGTAGAGTGGCCTGACCATAAACCTCCTTCTGAGAAAATGTCTTTATAGTGTGTGCCATGCTTTTCAACAAGAACCCTACTGAAGGAAGGATTTTAACACAGAGAGTTTATATCAGCACTGAAAAAAAGAATTCACACTAAAATTCCAGCTTGATTTTCCTGATCCTGATTACAGGAAAATGCTGAAATGCAATTTCACCTGCCAGTTGAAAATAATATTTTGCCACAACTTGAATAATGTTTTTTTGAGGGTACACAAACTGACTCACATCTGGAAGATTTTTTTCCCAATGAAATCTTGGGTAACATTAGGATTCCATTCCATACAGGGGTGCAACAAGACACCCATGCACACCCAGATTCCCATTCGTACCAGCTGGGGAGGACTCCCAAATGCAAACAGTCATTCTGAGCAATCAGGAAACTCAGCTGCCCCCTCGCTCACTCCCCTTCTAGCCAGGGCATTGAATTCAAACAAAAAAGGAGTTCTTGCTATTTGGTAGCAATTCAGTATTTATTCAGTGTGTGGAATAGTAAAAGAGGGAGGAGGGCTTGGAACTACTCACAAAATTTGAACAAAAGCACTCTATGGCAGCAAAGAAACTCTAACAGGGACAGAGCAGAGCAAAGAGAAATCCTGAGCAGGAACACCAGAGGAAAACATAATTTTTATAAAGATTCTTAGGGATCACTGATGTTCCCTCACAGGAAACAAGATTCCCCTTGCTGTGCTCGTTTGGCAGGTCACACCCAGAAAGCAGCACAGCCAAGCTCTGCAGCTTTGTGGCTCTTAGCAGGATACCCTTGATTCTCATGTGTTAATTTGAGATATGCACCAACACAGAAATTTATTTCAGTGCTGGTTCCCATGCCAATGAAATTTATTATCTAAATTAATTCTGCTTTAAAAAAAACCCCAAAGCACTAAACTAATTTAAATATTCAAATAAAATAAACTTCACTGCTTAGCAAGTGGAATTCCACAGGTCACGTGCTGGAGTCAGATAAGAGTGTGGCAGTATTTCTTTTTATCTCTAAACACCTGAAATGTATGAGTACTGTATGATGATCTCTTTAATTCCCTGCATTGAGCCAATATACAGATAAAAGCTTAAGGGAATATTCTACAGAGCACTGACATAACTTTTTCATTTTTTCCCCCAGCTGTACACTGGACACAGCATACAACTGTGCTGCTGTTTTTAACACTTACATTTAGAAGTGGCTGTTGAACCACTCAGGTTCAAAAATCTGCACTAATAGAGACAAAAGAAGGAAAAGGAAATCCAAGTTTTAACAACAAAATAAAAATGACAAATAAATGAATACATGATTTTTTAGATCCAGAGAAGGAAAGAGGAGAGCATCCTGCCTCCAACTTTATATTTCTTATCTAAATCCTCAAAGGGCAAAAGACAAAAAGCATCCAAAAGGAAATGACTTGCCCAAAATAACACTGCAGATTGGCAGCAAAATAAGCAACAGATTCTAAGCCCTGCCAGCATTGCTTTTAACAACTGCTTCTTGGATGAAATTAAAAAGAAAACTTTGGAAATCAGGAGGCAGCCAAGCCATATATATCAGGGATAAGCAGGTGTAGGAGGTTGCTGTGAGCAGAAAGGGGAGTTCAGGAACCATCTGAGAGCAAGAAGTGAGAAATGCAGAGGGAATCTGCATGTGAAATGAGAATAAAGGAGAGGAACTCTACAAAATCCCAAAGCTCTGAGTGACTGGACAGGACAACTGGACAAAGAATTTGTGTAGAGTAAGGGGGAAAAATAAAAAGGAGAAATATCTGAGAAGGAAAGAGTTTTAACACAATTTAAAAGGAAATGGCAAGTCCACATGAAGATGGAGACAGACAGGAAGAAACACATGTCTACAGAGGGAAGAGGTCAGGAGTGGTCAGCAGATTTATGAGATTTAAGTGTCTCTGGCAGCTCCAGAGTTCAGTCAGAAATTTGCAGGGCTATTCCCAAGACATCATTTAATCCATTACAATATCTTCAGAAACTAAAAGCACCTGTAAGGTTTATAAATTTGAGAGATCTTTAAAATATTTTAAACGTAGCAAAATGAGACATTTTCTAAACTTCTCTAAAATTATACTACATATACTGTTTGGATACTGCTACAGTATTTAGCTTTACCAGACTTGTAAGGCAGGTGCCTGCACTATGTGAAAAACTATCTTGATAGAAAGGCCTCAATTCCAGTAACAGCTGAGAGAACTCTGTATCCTGCAATGCCCAGCATTGCTCTGTATTCTACAATTGCCCAAATTTTCCAGGCACAGCAGGCAGATGATGACAACATGCTCCTGTAACTCTACAGTTCAGAATCCAGACAAACATTTTTTATGACATCAACATATTTGAGGATGCCCAGCTTCCTGCAGATAACCTGAGCTCTTACGCAAAATAAAAATTGGCAGATTGGAAGTATTTAAGTGCACATTTATCATGACAAAACATTCGTGTCATATATGACTATAGATTATCAATAGCACTAGAATAAGACCACAGAATCTGGATTTACCTCTCTAACAAGTAAATTATTTTCCTTAGGTTATGATGCACCCTTCTTAAAAAAAAAAAAAAAAAACACAAAAAAAACCCCAAACAAAACGCCATACCCCTCATGTTTATTTAGCATAATCATGAAGAAAAGTCAAATGCATTTAGTATTTTCAGTAATTACTTTTTCTTACTTTAGAGGAAAGTAGAATTGAAGCATTTTGCATCAGGGAGCTGATAAGCTGTTTTGTGATTAGTCTCAATTAACACCCAAAATACCCCAAATGCAGTCACAGAACTTGTCATGGTCATTCCCAGTACATGTAGTTAGCTACAGCAGAATTGCTTTCACTCAGCATTCACAGGCAGTATGAAGTCATATGTCAAAAGTGATACAAACATTATTAGAAAGATAATAGGAGTGATAAAGACATCATTATTAGCCTCTGACCAATGATGCATTCCCTGATAAACATCAGCAATAATCTCTCATGCTGAGATACTTCACAGGATCCCTGTGAAGGAAATTACTGACCCAGGTGGCTGGCATAAACACTGCAGCCCTGCCAAGTGAAAAAGTGCAAAACACTGAGATATACACTGGAGCATGACTACATCTGGGGACTAGTTATTAGTCAGGAACAAAGTTGGTTTCCTGTTATTGTAAAACAGTTTATGTAGACTCAGTACCTCTGTTATGTCTCCAACTGCATAAATGTGAGGAACAGAAGTAGCTTCACTGGCATCAACAATAATCTTTCCAGTTTCAGAGTTAGTTTTCACTCCAACTGCCTCCAGATTGAGAGTTTTGGTATCAGGGGCTCGGCCTTAAGGAAAAAAAAAAATTCAAGTAAGAGCTATTGGAAAACTTCAGCAGCGTTAATCTAAAAAGTTGGCATCTTCCACTGTGGGTCTCCAAGAACTTTGTTCTATTTGATAGTCCAAGCAGAAATATGAGAAAACTTATACTGAGAAAGCTGCAGGGGTGGAAAGCATGGCTGTGACATTCTGTGGGAAAGGAGCTCGATCACTGCTGCCTTTGCTCACACATCAGAGGGTTATCCTTTTAAACATGAAAAACCACACCCACTGGAAAAAGTACAAAAACCACATAAATTCATATTTATTGAAGACTCTAAATTCAGTTTCCTAATATAGCACAAATATACATATAAAAACTAAGCAACTTCTACACTGAAAATTTCCAATAAACATTAACTGAATGGTGCTCAGTGCCAACAATGTGTTGTGTATACTTTTTGAATAAAAATTATTAATAATGCTGTTAAACATTCCTGAAGTTCTTGTTTCTTGTAATGTGAATACACTTATCTTAAAGCACTTTCAGTACCTTCAGCTTAGATGAAAAATTTTATCAACTTTGCTCTCAAGTCCTAAATGCTGACTTAGTTATCTCAAACTGTATTTGAGCTATTTCTGTAGAGTTTAGAAACATTTTTAATGTATTTAAAAACAAATGAGGCAAATCCAACCAAGCCCAGATTTTATTACAGCTTCCCATTCCAATGATATCAAATTATCTCATATTTAAAAAATATATTTTTGTAGTGTTTTCTGCATAGTTTACCCCTTGATCACTGAAGTCTTAACAGCATTACACTGAGCTTTGTATAGAGTATCTAAGGAAGCAATTTCTGACCCAGAAATTCGAATCTTAAATCCTATCCAACTTGTTTGAAAGTTAATAAGCTCAGTGAAATTACATGGTAGTCACAAAATTTTTAAGGATCACACAGAAAAAAACCCAAACTGAATATATCCAAATGAAAGAAATTTTTAAACATTGTGTCTGTTTTAGAGGCTTTAATGAACATGGATATATCTACACATTCAAGTCTCCTTTGCACGACTCACAATTTGCATTCAATTTAATACAGAGCTATAGCAAAGCAAAACAAAAGAGGAAATGTGTTTTCATTATAAAAACAAGGTCTTTGATGTTAATGTAGGAAATTATTAAACAAAAGGAAAACCTAGCTTGTCAATACAGACCTAATTATATGTAAACATATGATTCGGTGCTTTATACATCTTCCATATAGCCAGGCCCTCAAACAATGTCACATCTGAATGCCTCTGTAAAGACTTCTGTGTATTAATTTCATCTGGTGAAACCAACACTTCCTCTGGGAGCACTGACTGAAGCTGTCGGCACTTGGCTATCTGTCTGTCTTCCCTTCTGTTGTCCCCATGGGATGTTGATCTGCTGTTCCTTCTCTGCCCCCTGCTCCCCAGTCCTGATGCTATCAGGCAACAAAAATAATAAACCTCCAGGACCTTATCTTGGCTCGGATGTGAAACAACTTCCTACCGTTGTATTTCTTTGGGTATTGAGAGTAAAGCCTGGGTATTCTGCAAATGGACAACTAATGGGGTTTTCTAGTTTCCTCTTTTTCCTGCCAGGCAGAGCCAAGAGAAAACTTAGCACGCAATGGTCAGGCACTGAAAGAGGAAAAAAAGAAAACCCCTCAATAGAGTCATTTAAAGACCTGTGGCAACAACAGCTGAGTTTATCAAACCTGCAGGATAACACTTAACCTTTCCATTGCAGCCAATTTTAACACATGTATAGCTTGGTATTAATAGCTAAGAGTTACCAAAAAATGTGCTGCTTCTCATAGAGAAGTTTCTCTCTCAATTTTATGGGCTAACTATTATTTTTGAAGGAAAAACCAGAATTTTTAAACACTGAACTGAAGCTTTACTGGCCTTTAGCTCTATGCAGGTCCATCCCCATAAACAAGAATTATACTTACTGATCTTGCTTCATCACAAATTCAGTAGCTGAGGCTCATGGTTATACAATGCGACTTGGTGGGTTGTAGTGCCAAATTCAGGGAATTCTGATATTTCCTAATGTTCACTTACTATTATAAAATCAATTCTCACCATTTCTCAGAAGGACTTTCTTTTTATATCCATAACTCCTGATTTTTTCATATCTGCAACTTCAAGAAATCATGACTTCACAGCTCATTTCTAAGATTCTAAATCCTACCAGGCACACAAATCCACTCTTTGCCTAAAATCAGCACATGTGCTTTTAGTTTGAAGATGTCCTGAAACTGCCAAAGAACAGGAGTGTACAATTGTACAGGACACAAGATTAGAATTAGCTTTCATTCAAAACAGCAAAATATGCCAGACACCTAGAAGAAAGGTGTAACTGAAATCTGACCCTTAAAAAGGTTACCTGCCTCCTGCACTTCTAACAGCACACCACAGTCTCATCTTTCATAGACCCATACACTTACACAGCTGTGAAAACCACACAGAGCCCTGCTTTCAGTGCCAGCCCCCTTTTGCTTTTAACTTTAAAAGAAAAAGCAGCTTTTGGATCTGTTTTTGTAAAATCTAACAGCACAGCCTCCTAAGGGGGCTGCCAGGCAGAGGGCTGCACTGCAGAGCGTGGTGGCTGAAGCTCACATCTCCATCACAGACATGGCCAGGCTGGGCTGTGGTGTGGCATTTGTGTCCCATCACCTGCCCAGGGCTTCTGGCAATCACAGCTGACCACAGAACAAGGGAACGAGTATCAGACTGTGACCTTCAGCTGCAGGACCTTCAACAGTGGAGACTGAAAGAGCTGAACTCAGAATTCAGAGGCACAGCCATACTCAGGTAAGCTGCAGTGGTAAATGAGTGACAGCATACTCTTATATCCAGTAAGATTTCCCAAGGTGATAAAGGTGCAGCTGACAGCAGAATTTTGTGGGGGCCTGAATATATGTTGTATTTTGAGATCAGTGTGTGTCTGGGTTACTCCAAACGAGCTGCAGCTGCAGGGTCCTTAGTTGGGCAACAGCTGTAGCTCGTGAGGGTAACCCAGACACACACTGATCTCAAAATACAACATATATTCAGGCCCCCACAAATTTTTTAATGGGTCTTCCAGAGTTTCTTAACCACAGAAGTTAGAAATGCCAGTTTGTCTCCCAACATTTGAGAAATCCAAACTGGAGCCAACCACGTATTTTATTGTAGGTAGCCACTGTGAGGATACTGCTGGGTGACAGGAGAGTTTTTCTGGAATAAAGCTCAAGCCCAATAATCTTCTCCACTTCTTCCCTATACATTGGCACATCACCTTATAACTTTATCCAATCTGACCTCAGTCTAACCTTAATCAAAATCTTGTCTGTGCTCCCAGTCTCAATACTCTCTTCATTCTGAGTGCCTGACACATTCCCCAAATTAGTTTCGATACCAATGCCCTTTCCTCCTCCAAATGTCTCCTAAAACCCACAAGATGCTCACTAAAACACACCCAGCTGATAATGACAAATAAAAACCATTTCAGTGTAACTACTGTTCAGATTACAGGAAAATACTGACTAGAGTAAGATTAAGTAAGGTTAAAAACAGTTCAGAACCTTTATCACATTGATAACAGCAAGTACCATTTCTACAAGGATGCTTATGAACATTACATCCATTACTGATAAACCTCCAGCATGCCTGCCACAATCTGAAAAAAACTCTGGCCCTTAGTCAATACTGGGGCAGTAATTGGCTCTCTGGCAAGGCTGCTCACTGTACTCCTGTAGCACCAACACTTTTCACACAGAGGAGTCCTCTCAGCAGAAAGCTTGTGCTGCAATGAGCAAAAACCTGCCTGTGCACACCTGGAGCTCACAGCAAAAGCAACTCCAAGTGACATGTAATCAAATAAAAAACTTACAGCATGGGACAGACTTCTAAAAATCTACTTTTCTTGTTCTCAATGTCCTGTAAAAAGGGAAAAGGGCTGGAAACATTTTCTGAGAAGAAAGTTACAGTTCCCTGTTACATTATTTCTCCCAACCAAAGGTTTGGTTTCAAAGGATGGCTCTGCAGTCTCAGAAATGAGCGCTCAGCCACCATTCCCAAGAGAGGCAGGTCACTGGCTTCAATCTCCTCAGCATTTATGATTGAACTGAATCTGTTTTCTGCATGCAGTAACTATGCTGTTTTCAAGAAATTACTTTGGAGTAATTTTTTGCCATTTGAAAAATCTCTTTCTACCATCATTGAAGTAAAGGTTAGCATCACCTATCAACTCAAATAGCACCTCAGTGCTGAAATAGTTCTCAATCCAACCTTCTTCACATGTAGATCTACAGGCATAGCCTAGCACATGAACAAATTATTTTTATAGTTACAGGCTGGTATAATGAGTAGCATAAAATAAGTTACATTTAAAGTTTATGGGTTGGTTACACAAAGGGAAAAGCACATTAAAAATAGCCCTGCTGAATAAAGTCTGACTGAATGCCCTAAAAATTAGATATTGGAAAAATCCCTAAAAGCACTGGCTGATATAATGGGAATGACAATTTTCATTAGGATTGCAGAAACCATATCTAATCAAGAGAGTAATGAATTTAAGTTAGTAAGAGACACAGACATGGGAAGTTCAGAACAAAGACCCAAAGCTTCAGCAAACCACAGCACATCAGCATTAAGAGTTGCCTGAGACCAACCAAGGTGCTTTATTTTCCACTGAATAGTTCAAAGATTAAAAAGTCAATGGCAAAATTGTGTTTGCCAAGATAAATCTAAAGCCCATTCCCTTTTCTACAGGGGCTGGCAGAGATGTGCTCATAGGAGATCACAGCAATATTTTACCTTATGGGGCTTTTCACAGAAAATCTCCTAACAAAATTTCTGTTTCCCTTGTTAATCCAAACTGGTTTGGTTGAAGAACACTATAACAAAAAATGTTATGTATTTAACCCTTTGTCAATACCAAACAGCAAGGATTCTATTCAAAACCTCAACATCTTATCATTTCAGGAGAATTCTCTAGAAGCCAAAGACTGCACTACTAAGATAGAAAGACATACAGAGCTGAACTGGAAAAATCAAATAAACATCAACAACAAGCTCTTGCACTGAGATGGAATATAACAGTATGTAGTCCCTCAGCAAGGTATGACAGGTCCATGAGTTACCTACAAAGATTTGGACTGAAAGTTTTACATTACATTAAAATGTATCAAAATAAGATTTCTTTTTTTCCCCTCAAATATTTTGACTAGTTCAAAAATGCTGCTGGAAAAACAAAGGGAGCATTGTGCCTGCTTTTATTGGCTTATCCATACAAGCAGAAAAATCACACATTCCAAAAGCAAAACAAAACTCATCAGACAAACACAATCTAATTTTCTTTTTAAAGGGTTGGCATTAGGAGATAGTTTAATAAGTTACAGTACTATGTCCCACTATCAGTAACTATTTTTAACATTATTAATAAAATCCTACTAAAATTCCATGATGGACTGGCAAAAATGATGGAAATATGTACTACAATTTAGGCTACAATTAGTCAACAGTAGCAGCTGCTTTTTAACCAACTCTGCAAGCTGACTTGCTTCAATCAGTATTAAACCTGGCACATCTGCAGACAGGAAATCCTCAACACCACTGAGTTTCCCAGCCTATTATCTGAGACACCTGGTGTGGGTGTGTTGATACAGAGCAAAACAATGAATCATATGGACTGCACACCAATTAACCAGCTCTAACTGTTAATGTGTTTAATCCTTAAGGGTGGAGTGCCAATCTGAACACTAAAAAAAGGCAACACAAAATCCTCACACTATTCATTTTGCTGTTTCTAAATATGGATTGTAACTCAAATCTCTGACAAAAATTGTAACACATGTAGCTCCTCTGAACTGAAATAATGAGCAGACTCATGTTACAACTGAATTGCAACAGTCTATCATGCAACCTTATTCCATTATAATTAACAGTACATCAAGATTTTTTTCTTATTTTTCAACTTAATAGCTCTTTTTTCCATCTTAGACCAAAGTAAACAAATTGACTTGACATTTGACATGTGTGTCTCCAACTCAGTGTACTTTTCATAGAACCACAGAATGGGTTGGGTTTTTTACCAGAAAGCTTAAGAAAAATCAAATACAGCACTTAGAAACCCACTTTTTGGAAACATTCTCATCTCACCTCATGAATATTATTCTACAGTTTTCAGGATTGTTATGTGTCCAGATAGCATGAGCTATTTTTTACTCTCGGCAAGCACTAGTCTGTTTGATTGGTTCTGATGAGAATAATCCATTATTACAGGCTGTTTCCACAATTTGTAGAGCCCAAGGCACTTCTAAGAGAGTAGTAGTTACAGTAAGGAAAAGAAAACATTTGTCACAATGCACAACCTGCTCTCTGTTTGGGGTATTAGGAAGATATAAAGCTGACTTAACCAGGGAAATGGAACAACTGGATAGTAGATTAAATCCACTGGGCAAAATATGCTGTAAATGATCTGTTTCTGATCCTGTAATGGATCTATTCTACAACCACAATAATTTAAATTTATGCTATAAACAAATGAAAGAGTAATGCATTCCCACTACTCTAAAACAGAAGTGCCAGATAAAAAGAATATAAAGCAGTCAAGGGGATTGCTAAAGCTGCTTGTAAAACTGATTACTTGTCTGCATCCACAGGATTTCTTGGGCTGTACGTTTAAGCCTATTTACTTTGTTTGCCAGATATCATCTGCCTGCCAAACACCACTACTACCTTTAGCCATGCATTATTGATCTAGAATTCCAGATATTCACAAAGCTTTATAAGCACAAAAGACAAGAGTCTCCTACCCTGGTGGGCTTACAGCCCATCTGAACCAATACAGAGACTGGTAACAGTGACAAATGAGCAGCTCAGGGAGGCAACACTCAAGGAGTATTTTCATTCCTGTGGGCTGGAGCCTTGTACATAATTTAGTGGGTTAGTCCTTGCAGGAAGCAGCATTTGTCTCAAAGGAGGAAAACCCCAGATTTGATTCCCATTTCTGGTGATTATGCTCATAGACATTTATCACAGCATTCTTCTAAAGCAATTTACTCTTAGTTGTTGTAGGTCAGTTCCAAGGGGTCTGAGATATGTGAAAGTCCCTAACCAGGTTCCAAAAAGCTATACAGTTTCAAGGTTCCCTGCAAGACCTTGGGTTTTTAGAGCCAGTTACTTTTTCTCTGAATTGGATGACAGCTGCAGTAACAAACTTAAACAGCACAGTTTAGAAAAAAATCCTAGAAGAAATGGTAGCCTCTTAAACAGGATAAATATGCACTTCCAGTGAATAGCTTCATGAATCAATCAAGAGTATGCACTTAGAGAACACTATCTGCAACCAGAGTTTGCTGGAATTCATGTTCTTACTCTAGTAAAAGTGAGAAAGACTACATGGTCTCCCATTTATTACAGCTCATGCAAAAATAGTTACCACTGATTTCTTACATTCACAGTAACTTTAATGTGTTTTTAGACTGTAAATGAACAAGTCAGGCACGCAAGAAAAGAATTAAACAACTGTCAATGTTTAAGTCACTAAACATTTAAGGGGGGGCTGTTTCACCCCATGATGAAGTGACTTCACTTTCAGAATGGAAAGCATTGCAAAGAAATGTTAAGATAATCATATTTACCTACTGCCCACATCACGGTGTCGAAAGAATCGGTTTCTTCTGTGTCCAGGTCAGCATTTTTCCAAGTGACTTGCAATCTGTTGCTCTCCAATTTTTCAACTTTAGTTGGGAAACATCTCTTTAAAAATTTTGTGCCATAAGATTCCATGTGCTCAGTTACTAAGGAAGCCATTTGCTGTTGAGTAGTGAAACAAATTTGTTTTTTCTTAGATATATGACCTTTTCAATGTAAACCCCTCCTTCAGCTGGGTTCAGGAAACCCCAGTAAATACCTTGTGCATTTCAAACATTCTTTATCACTTAGTTACTATGCACTGCTAACACATGATAATTTAGGGAACTGCTATGACCTGCAACTCCATTCCAAGAGGCACCTACACTTAAATACTCACATTATTTTTAAAAAATATAACAGTAAATTAATAAAGGAGTTGCTTTTAAAGCATTTGTTGTTTACATAATCTAGAGCATATTCAATTTACCATTACCATAACTACAATTTTCTAGTAGTTTGATGAAAATTAAATACTTTCATAAAACAATGGGAGAAAGGTATTTCCTTTTGCCATAACACCTGACATTTCTCTGCAACGACTATGAATCAGCAAGGTTTCATGGAAAGTTCTCATACAAAAACAAAAAAACCAAACCACTTTTGTCCTAAGAGCCTGTTTGAAATAATGCCACACCAAATTGAAGTAGTAAAATGTGGCATCAACAGGTTTATCCAAAGACATCAGTGCTCCTGACTGCAGGAACTCAGGTTGCACCTTGCCAGAGTATGTTTATTACTTAAAGGATATTATTACAAAACCACTCACATAGAACAACTCCACACAAGCTCTCTCAGCTTACAAAACTTTAAAATAAAGTTGATATTAACTAATATGAAGGCAACAGCAGGGCTATGTTTCTTCAGAAACATGAGAGCTCATTAATCAGTTTCCATCAGCCTCAATGTGGCTGCAGACTGAACATAATTATTTTATCTCCATTAATACTTTATTAACTTTGGTATGGCCATTGTGCTCCTCCTGCCTACAGAGGATCAAGTTCTCCTACTGTGTTTGACCAAGTGCTACACACACACCATTCCCTGCTTGCTCAGGCCTCATGCTGTTACAGGTGTGGATTTCTTCAATGAGGAGTGTAAATCCCAAGAATTATTCTTATACAATGTTTTGCAAACTCATGCCATCACTTTTAAGGCATACAAGGCACTAGTTTAAGGAATGCACTCCAGGGTGGGAGAGGGTGACACAGAACCAGGATCTGTCACTAGTGTCACTACCATGGGTGGTGATTGTCACTGCCACTTAAGCAACAACACTCTCACCTCAAAATCTGTGCACATATTAGGAAATGTTTGGAGATGCAAACAACATTATTTCTTTAGGAGATAAAAATAAAAAAAAAATCTGTATTTTAATTTACTTGCTAGATAAGGAGATGTAAGATATTCTGTACTTGCCTGATCAAACCCACGAAGTGGGACACTTCTCATCATGACTGTAGTGTCCAATCCAATGCCTGTCAGAAAACCAGCACACTCAAGGGACACATCTGGTGACACACCAGTTAAGCAAATGTAAACAACAATTTCAATAAACACAATATATGAGTAGTATACAAGTGGGCTTTTTACTTGGAGACACCAAGTTCTCCTCACACAGACATCTTTAGCTTGCCTTTGTACACAGAATAAAACTTGGAAGTCTTATCGTTAACATAGTTAACACTGGATTTAAGATCCTGAGAATTTATCCTCAGCTGATCCTAATTTCCATGATGCTACTGCATAGAAAACTATTATTATTCTCTTACCAACTCAACTATATCACATGAGCAGAGGCATTCTGAAAACTGAAGTTTCACAGGAAAGACAGCTATGCTAATTATAATCACAGATCATCACAGGCTTTTCAAAGGATACAGCTGGCTCCAACAACCAACCTGTTACAGAAAAGGAAAAAAAGAAGAAAGCAGTGGAATGAGCTTGTGCATACTTTTGCACAACCAGAAAAAAATATTTTCTGATGTGGGTGTCACACTTGCCAACTTCCAGTCAGCTGGGAGCCCTGAGTTAGCCAGGACTGCTGGGAAATGATGGAGGGTGGCTCAGTCAGCTCTGCCATCAGCTCCCTCAGCACCCTGGGGTGGATTCCCTCCTTGGACTTGTGCATGTCCAAGGCTGCAGGAAGTTTCTAACCAAGTCCTTGGGATTTATGGGGGCTTCATGCTGTTCCCTGTCCCCATCTTTCAGCTCAGGGGTTGGGCACCACAGAACAACTGCTCTTACTATTAAGGACTGAGGCAAAGAAGGCATTAAGTAACTCAGCCTTATCCTTATTACTGTGCTTCTCCTCCCCCACACTAATAAAGGATGGGCATTCTCCTGAGCCCTCCTTTTGTTGCTACTGTATTTATAGAAACATTTTTATTGCCTTTTACAGCAGTAGCCAGATTAAGTTCTAATTGGGCTTTGGCCCCTCTAATTTTCTCCCTGCACAACCTTATGGCACCCTTGTGGCCCTCCCTCTTCTCCCAGGGGCATAAATACTCCTTTTTCCCCTGAGTTCCAGCCAAAACTCTTTATTCAGCCAGGCCAATCTTCTTCCCTGACAGCTCATCTTTCAGCACATGGAGATGGTCTATCAATTAGATTATGTCTTCCTATCAAGTAGATTACAGTTCCTAATGTAGATTTTATTCATTGCTAAATTTCATTTTGATTTATAACCATCTGCTTTTTAATCACTGTATTTTTCCAGATGCCAAATATTTGCCCTTCCAGTCTTCAAACATTTGTTTATGATATTACAGAAAACGGGTTTAATAGATTTACTTAGACTGGTATTTACCAAATATATCCATTTTATATCCTAAATAAAACCCCAGTTCCCACCTCTCTCAATATTTCACACCCTTTCAATCAAGAATATAATTGCAATTGTCCATCAACACTTGCAATTTATGAGGTGTATCAGCTCTCCAGCACAGCAGTTTCCATCTCTGTCCCCAGCTGCTCCCTACACTGCAGCAGTTCCTCTCTCCCCAGCCCTACATTTGCTGGGTACAAAAGGCAGAATGCTCAGTCCCTGTTCTGCAGGTAAAAGCAGCTCCAGCCAGGCAGCCATTAACCCTCAGCTGCTGGACAGGCTGCACTTGCACTCCTCTGCTGTTTATGTCTTCTACAGACTTGTTAAAATCTCTCAGTTTGGAGATGGCATCCCACACAGTATTTCCACTGACAACAAAGTATTTTGTTAGGTTTTTGAAGGGGCTTGTGGCCTATGCCTTACCCTAAACAAATCTGCAGCATCTCCCAGTTCTAACAGCAATGCTTTTAAACTTGTGAGCACTGCAGACATGGAGGCTGCAGCTCTGTAAGCCCCAGGGACTGCACAGTCAGTACAACACATGTTTTCTTACAAAAGGCTCCAGATAACATCTCTCTATCTTACAATAAAAACACACAACTTCTGAAGGTGTACAGAGAATAGGTTGAGTAAAAGCAATTAAAATCTGCTAGTCTGGGGTTTGTGCTTGGCAAATAATTTAAGATAATGGGAAATAATTTTTCCAGCATTAGGGCATCTGATTCATCTGTGAATGAATGATCACACACTCATTAGCATGCAGCTCCTGGGAAGTGCTGCAAAAAGCCTCACACTGCCCATAGAGAAATATCTACTGAGATTCACAGGGAAAAGAATGAGAATTTCTGTGATTTGGGCATATGTTTGCTCTTCTTTTTCATTAGGTGAAAAATGGATGTCAGCTGGCACTTGCTCATAGCATCAGCCCCACATTATTCATACTTTCTTGTACAAAACAGGGGGTTCCTGGGCATTGTCAGTGTCTAAAAGAAAAGTTAGGAAAGCAGAACCTAACCTTGTTCACACCTGTTCAATTTCTTACTCATTCTCAACACGTTTCAAGGCATCTCTTCTAATTCACTCTGCCAAAACCCTTCATCTCAGCAGTGAGTTTCTTCCCCATGTTTGTATATCTATGGGACTTTTTAAGTTGGTTAATGGTTTACTTTAAAAATAAAAAAAGAATAACTGCAGGACTGACAGCTCTATAACCTCCAGGCATGTAATTTGTAGCTGAGATATGTACATTTGGAGAGGGAGAAAAGAAAGAATAACTACAACACAGCTCAGACTAAAAACAAAAGGTGTTAAACTGAACCTTGGGAATATTTATAACAGAAACAAATCCGACAGAAACAAACCTCTAACAACTCCCTCCTTCATTTGCTAAGACACAGCCTGATAAAGCACAGAAATGCTACTGTAGCCCCTGAAGGCTTATTTTGACTAAATCTCAGGAATGCAACATATAAACACTAGACTCCCACATTACACTGTTACAACTTGCATCGGCAGCAACTGGAGAAGAGCCATATTTTCACAGAAACCTCTTACAAGGATAAATCTTATATTTTGGTTTGGGATTTTGTTGGGTTTTTTTTGAGGGGGTGGGTGTTGCTGTTCTTAAAAACAATTTCCTTGTATAAATCATGCCTTCAACATGCTAGAGGTGACTGAAACACTACAAACAACAACAAATTTACTTTCTTTCTAAAACTGTACCAAAAAGCCTCATTTTCTTATTTGAAGTTTAGCTTAACACAGTGCATTTTTATAGCAGAAAGTCACTGCCATGAATGGCAACTATGTTTTTTGCACAAACATCAATATTATAGCTTGAAGTCTCTTTTGTTTTTTCTAGAATTGCTCAATAGAGAGGACAAAAAGAGAGCATTATCTGACTTTTAGGCTAGCAAATCTGCATTTCCTATCACAATTATCTCCATCAGGAAATTGCTCTGTAGCAGTGTTGACTTGGAATCTTACTGTGCTGTGTGCTGTAAAAAACAACTGTGGCATTTTAGTATTTCCATTAAAACCAGTGTTTTAATATTTCAGTTAAACAACAGCTTCCAAAGCAAAACTAACTCAAATGTTTCTTCATATTTTCTTTTGTCATCAGAACTGCCACAATTTAGGAAAAAGAAAAATTATGTTGGAGCTTCTCCTCTAATTGAGGAACAGGGACTGAGCAGCCCCAGGTGAGTTCATGCTGCCCTCTTGTGACTTGTAATCGCTACAGCACAACCTAACACGGTGAAAACGTTATTTAATTTGATTTTAGGAGGGAATTTCATAATATGAGGAGGGAGAAGATCTATCAGTTATTTATGAAGTTTGGTAGTATGATATTGCTGCATTGTGAAGCACATTTTCAGAAGGAAGACAGAAGAAAAATTGGCATACAAAAGGCAATTTTGAACATTTTTCACCTTGCTATATAGAAAAGGTAGGAATGCCAGCATCTATTACAACCATGGTAAGGTAACTTACGTTTTTCCAGGAGATTTCTCTAACCAGAACAGATCATCACTTGTGATTCCATACTCCAGTGCACCTGCAACCTATGATCACACAGGTGAATCTACAACGCAAATCCTGTCAGCAATAAAAGCTAACAGCAACTCAGGCTGGGTTGGCTGAAGTACAGACCAAGGGGAATATATCTGGGGCTGCCAGCTTCCAACCTGAATTATCCTACAGCTCTAAGCAACACCAACGTACTGAATCAGAGCAAACTGGCTTTTTAGAAAAACATTTCCATAGACAACATCCTTTATATAAAGACAATTTTTTGTGTCAACTACAAAAAATCTCTTATGTTGCTTTATTTTTACATTCTTCAGCCTCCTTCACTCTGTTGTGCATCTCAGCAAAGCACTGGAGTTGTCAAATGGAATGGTAACTTACATTTGTAGGGTATTTTGGTCTTCCTCCAGTAGCAATGACAACATTATCTGCAGTAACAACAACCTACAAACAAAAATGAAAAATCAAAATCAAGCATTTGCAATCCTTTTATCTGTCTTTGGATTTCATCTATGTACAAATGAGTGATCAATGAGAAAACTGGTACTACCATCTGCTATTTATGTGACATAATAATCAGCAATGCATTAAAAAGGGATGGAGATAAACTAATACATGCAGAATTTCTCCTACCCATTCTCTACTAGGTTTTAATATTAACTGTGCAATTGTTCTTACACTGCACAAGATTCTGATTACTACTTGGAAGCAACAGTTATGCACAAGCGACACTTTTAAAATCAATTTCTTGTCAGGATAAAACACACAGAGATCACAGCAGTAAGTTCTATCCCAGGCCTAGAGTTAAGCTACCTCAAAAGGAGACTGTTTCTAGAAAATCCTAGGCACCTACCTCCAAAAACCTGACCTTCAAGCTGATATGAATCAGTAATATTAAACAATTACCCTGAAAAAGGTGTTAAAAAGGTACTTTCAGGCCTTGTTAAATACCCAGTAATGGCCACCAGTCTGTTATGTGACCCAGATGTGCATTCACACTAATTGCCTCCCACACACAATTTGCTATTACTGAGTTAATCACCCCTACAAATCACCTGAAGGAGGGAAACAACTCAGAGCAACCTAATTCTCATCTCTCAGAACTTACATTTCTGTAAGCATCAGCATGACTGACCAAATCAAACAAAAATCTTCTGTCTCAGCATTTCCACCCGCAGAAAAAAGCAATAGCATCCAACAGGCCAGGCCAGGGACTCAGCAGGCACCAGTCAAGTTCATAAACAACTTCTCTAAGTGGCAAATGCAAATCTCACTCATTGAAACAATACTGAATACCTCCAACAATTTGCAAAAGGACAATCTCGCTCCCAAATGACCTGAAATGTTCCAAGAGAACAACACTGCAGAAATCAGCACAGCAGCTCACCTCTTTACCTGCTTTTGTTACACCACGGACTGTATGTGGATCAGAAAAACTTCCTTTTATGTTGAAGTATTTCACCTTCCTGTTTAGAAGAAAACAGCATCAGCAATGTACATTTAACAAGAATAGGTATGAAATACAATTATTTAAGTGCTAAAAGGGGTAGCAATCAGGCATAGAGCAGTAAAAGGAAGGAATCTCATTTCATAGGACTGTTTGCAGATCTGTCATAATTTGTCACTTCATTCTTGTGTCACACTTAACTCCTCTATACAGAAAAGTAACCTTGTAACAAACTTTGAGATCAGATTATTTATGTCCTCAGAAAATACATTTTTTGCTAGCCATAGCACTACTAGTATTATCTATAGCATTTCTGATACCATGCTTGTTTGAGAAGACACCAAAGTGCTTCAGCAGGAGTGACAAGACTAGAATCTGTTAAATTTTCTATTATAATTTCTCTATAAAAGGAACTGCATACTGAAAAAAAAAATCTGCCGCTCTAGCATAGTGTTAGCTGTGGGTTTGTATGGCACAGAAATTTTGGGGGATGAGGTCAAAAGTATCTTAAGAAACCTTGACTGCTTCATATTAATGTAAAACCTCTCCAGACTAAAGAGAGCATCACTACACTGCTAGAAAGCTTTTGTGTATGGTCAGTGTCAGCCGCTATTTCACCAAAAAGGAAAATGGGAGAGGAAAAGACCACTTACACTGACAGGGGCACTTGCAGACCCCTGAAGAAAGGACTTACAGACTCAAAATATTAGCTCTAGATAGAAACTTCAAAGGCAATTCTGCAATTCTACAAGGGCAAGAGCACCTCCTTGACTGTGGGAAGAAAGACAAACTTCAAAGTCTTATTTACTTTTCTTGTAGTTGCACTCTGTGTCCCCAGTTCAAGGATTTCACATAATTCTGAACACCTTGTGCCATCACAGACCTGCCACAAAACAAGAGAATGAACATGAAGTCATCACATTACAAATTCAGGATATGCAACACAAAGATATTGGCAAAGATATATGCTGAAAATGAGGACTGAACCACAGTATTTTTTATTGCAAAAGCAAATTATCAAGTCCAAATCAACATAATTTCTGCCCTGAGAAACCAGAAACTAATTCTGCTTTTTAACAAGTACCAGGCTAAAATTTCACATGCAAAATTCATTTCCCTAACTATCCCATAACAAACACCAGCTGGGAAAAGGTTATTGTTATGCATTTGCAGCACACAGGAGTGGATATAAGCAACAGTCTTTACCAGGTATGATGAACAGGTTGGGATATATTCCAGCCATAGTGTTGGGCATCTTTAAGGGCACTCCCTAAAAGGGCTGCTTGATGCATAAGCTTTTTAGGAATGCAGCCAACATTCACACAAGTTCCACCAAGTCCCCATGAAGTTCCTTGGGAAAAAAATAAATAAAGAAAAAAAAAGTAAATTAGATTAGTGTAACAATGCAGTTGGCTCCAAGGGAAGTAAAAAGTTCTGTAACAACACAGTTCACTGTCTCTTACAGATCAGTTTATAACTTGCTTTGTGCTCATTTGTTTGATAAAAACTATCTCTGTACATTTTTCTTCTAAAATTCAAGTAATTTCAAGATTTTTCTCAGAGCTCAGAAGATTCAGTAACCAAATATTCAGGTTTACAGATCTCATTTTGTGCATTGAGTACAAGGAGCCTCAGTGTGACACAATTAGTAATTTTTAGAAATTGTAAATATTATTTTGACAGAGGGAATATTCTCCTTATTTAAGTCCAAAGTCCACTATAAATGGTAGCATGGAGCACTGCTAACAAGCTTAATGTGCAGGGGAGCAGGCACAGCTGGTTCATCTTGGAGAGAACAAGCCATGGCACAAGCTGGGCTTAAGGACTTTTCTCCAAGCAAAACAGGCTTTGGACACTGGACGCTGCTCTCTGGAGCAACCTGCTCACCTGAGCAGCTGAATGATATGCATGTCCAATTATTATTACCCTGTTATTTCTCTTCCATACCTCGTGGGGAAGGTTCAACATAATCCAGAACAGCCACTTTTTTTCCAAACTGAGCGGCTGTAAACAAAGAAGCAAAGTAAGGTATTTAGAGGAAGGAGAAATACACAAACATAAACATTTTTAGTAGCACACACAGAAATAAAATACAGGAGATGACAGCTGGTGTTTTTTTCTGTCTAACTCAAGATACCAGACCAGAGACCCAACCTGCCTACATAGTCAGCAAATTCTCTGGAAGATGCTCAATAACCCAGATTGAGGCCTCCAGCTTCCACTGACCCTAAAAATGCAATTTGACCTCAAATGAGATGTTTAAGAACACTGTGGGTTGTTGAACATGCTACCCTGACAAACAAAGGGGGCAAGGTTCTCTACAGCAGTTAGATCTTGGATACAGTCTGAAGGTATTGTTTTAAATGAGAATAGTATTTTAAAAAGTACAGTATATATGGAGGTACTCTGAAAACTTGTACAACAGTGAAATTAAAGCTTATTAGTTTTTCCCATGACAAAAGAAGAAATATTTTTTAAAAGGTTAAGAGGAAAGCCAAAAAAGATCACACCATCTGAGGGTGTGAATTGATTTGCAGATTAACCATATGGAGCTAAGTTAATGATTGATGTACAGGTACTGAGCGTACTATGCTTTTTAAAAAGCTTTAACATTATCAGTAACACTTCCCTTAGCTTCCTTAAACCCCAGTGAAGTTAAACCAAAACTTCTGTTAGTTATTTACACATACAAACCTTCTTTTGCACAAGCAAGGCCTCCAGACCCTCCACCAATGACCAGAAGATCATACTCATTCTTTCCTGTGAAGAGGACGTGAAAAAAAGAAGGAATAGAAACAGATCAGGAAGATGGGAGAGGTATGTAAGAAGGACAGTATCAGAGTACATTTATTTTTCTAATTGATTATTGCGGATTTGGGTTTTCCTCACTTCATTCTAGCGCTGTGGTTTGTTCATTAAGTAATCTACTCTAGTTTTCTGAATGAAACACAGAAAACAAAGCACTTCAAACAAAGTGGGAAAATAGATTAAATTTTCAGACAACGTCCCAAGAGAGTCATAATTAACGCAACTGGGATCGAGTACTGGTCTCTGTCTGGGAATTGCGGCAGCGAGTTCTACGCAGATATTTTTCCGCGGGGTCGCCTTATCGGACTCAAAGCTTTACATGCCGTGTGTGCCCTGCCGGGCGTGGGACGCGGTCAGAGGGAAGCGGCCCCTG